GCCTTGATGCAGGTACCACGAAGATGGAGCTGGAGCGATGGCGCCACAGGTAAGTATCGCTGGCCTCCGCCAGCCTCTCTCTCCCACTCTACGATCTACCACCTGCCAGCGCCCAGCGCCGAAGACTACAGCTACAGCTATGGCGCCCAGCGCCGAAGACTACAGCTAGCGCTAATACCTACTGCCTAGCGCTGAAGACTACTGCAGCACTCCTCCTAAGTGCTGCGGCCGAAATCCTGAAGACTACCACTGCCTACTGACACTACCTACCCGTGAAGTGCATGGGAACTTCCTTACTCAATTGACATTAACATAATAAGGATATTCTTTCTATTTAAAAAGATTCCCCAAATACCTAAAAGAAAAAGAATCATTGAAAATGTTAAATATTTCACTAAATCCATAATCCGATATTTGTACTACGGGTGTGCCTCCTGAGCCTACCGAAGGGAGGCAGGGGCTGCAGCTGCAGCTCCTGCTCAAACTCGTGAGGAACAGGCTATTTCTGGCCTGTTCCGCATCCCTGTTTACGTGCCTGAGTCTTAGGGGCAGGTCGAAACAATGAGGGCCTGAAAATGGCCCTCCATTTCAGGCTGAAAACTCTGGGTCTGAAAAGACCCAGAAATAGGCTGAAACGGGGTAGGGCCTGCAGGCCCTCGTTTTTCAGCTTCCAGGCTGAAACGAACGGGGCCTGTAAGCCCTAAGTTTTAGGCTTTTAGGCTGAATGTCCGGGACGGGCCCTGCAGGGCCCGTGTGGCTACGCAGTATGCCACAGATACAGTGGAACAGGCCAGGAAACAGAGGCCGGAGGGAAGCAGCCAGACAAATAACAACATGATTGATGGTGATATCTATGAAGCTAAACAGAAGATTATGATCGACAGCCAGGTTGCCTTGCAGCGGACCTCTGCCCTGCTTGCACAGTACGGCCAGACAAACAACCTGACGATCGATGATGATACCTACGAGGCTAAGGTCAACAAGACAATCAATGACCAGACTGCCTTACAGCGGGTTCCTGTCCTGCTTGCTCATGATCTGCAGGGAAAGCAGCACGAAGCCGCCAGGGAGCGGGAGGATGGTGACATATGCGACTGTTCTTATGTTTTGCAGGGAGTGGAAGTTGAGGCCGATGGGTTGCAGGAGGATCACACATGCGGCCAACCAGGCATGCTCGCTGTGGAAAACGTTTTGAGTGGAGAGCAAGGGAGTTTTGTATAATGACAGGTGAGTACTTCAGTCTGTTATAGGGTTTCCATTGCTGGAGAGCCCAGGTTGCCCTTCCCCTGCACACCACCCCTGCTGGATAACGAGGGTCCATTTTTCAGCAAATCTTCTCAGCAGCAACTTGAAGGTGAAATTGTATCGTGTGCTTGCTTTCCCAGGGGTTCAAACGAGCTGTATCCTGCACATGAACGGGTGGGGTGTTATCGTCTTCTCTGCAGGCAAGTGAAGGTTCTTTCATGAGATGGCTTCCCCAAAGGGGTAAACGAGCTGCCTCCTGTACAGGGGTGGGTGGGGAGCGGAAGATACAAAGGATAGGGGTGATGAGAAGGGTCTGGGGAGAGGGTTGGGAGAGAGTGGGGATTGGATAGCGCAGAGTGATAGAGGGATGAGGGCAAAGCCCGCCGGTCAAGAGAACGGGAAACTTAAGTGGGGAGGTCGACTTCAGTACGACAGGTGGGGGGCAGGTGATAGGGAGGAGGATGGCGCGGGAGGTAGGATAGCGTATGCTTTTGTGCAACTATTTCTCTGTGTCTATACTCCCTCCTTTCCTCCTTCAAGTTGGGTGGTGGACATGTCGATAACTTCCTTTCTGACGATTGTTTTGCTTGTGAGAAATCGCACTAGCAAGTTCTGTGAGAACAACCATATAGCATTCCACAGTGAAAATAGGACAGGGAGATATTAGGTGAGAGGTTTCACCACGGAAGGAGACAGTGTTGTCAATAGGGGACGGAGGTCTCACCATGAATGGAGGGCATGGCGTGTGAAAGAAGGGTGGAAAGGGCGATGTTTAATCTTTTTTATCGGATGGGTTAATGGCAAGCCTTCACCGCCTGATTAGCGATTGTCCCACAACCTTTTATCGACGGAAACAATTGAAATAAGATTTTCAATTGCTATCACAGCCGCCGATGCCCTGAGGGACTACCAGCTCCACTTTCATGACTGGACAGCAGTGGACCCGGGTGTACCACTGAGACCCGCTTCAGACTTCCCGGACCCCTCACCCCCACATCCACTGTCAGTAGCGGAACGTTTCCAAGACACCACTGATGAAGAGTATTAAGGGGGAGGAGAGGGGCAAGGATGGAACCCCGAGCACGGCTGCACCCCAGGAGCCCGCGGCTACCAGCCAACCCGCCTCCCCTCCCCCCTCCCTAGGGGATGCCGGTCCCGTCTTCCAATAGAAGGTCAAAGCATCTTATGGTATAGCCGAAGCCGGGTAATGGCCCCAGTACTTGTTTCCTCATTTATTGTAATATGGGACGCTGGACCCGATTTCCAGCAAGTGCTGCGCCCCACCAAAAGATTGGAGCACTCGGCCGGACTACGGAGAGGGGATGCTCATATCACCCCACCCGGTAGGAAAACAGTGGTTATTACTAACTTATTAGTTAAAAAAACAAAAAAAAGTTGACAAATTTACAGGCAAGGGGTTTGATATGGGACCCGAGGGAGTGGGAATGGCCAGCCCAGAGAATGCAGAAGACAGCAGTTCCAATCCAGAGCCTCACCATGAAAAACGTTTATAACTCTCTTTTGGAGGCGGTACACATATGTGCAGATCTGAAGAATCAGTGGGCGAAGAGGGACTGAATTCCGGACGCGTTTTTCAACAGATGGGCCCATCACAGATGGAATGAGCAAAATGCAATCCTGGCTGCTTTACCGGACCAGAAACAGGTGGGCTTGGTATGGCAGCTCTATCATTTGGCAATCCCACGGCACAATGTCTGGCAGCCAGGAGCCGGCACAAGGATCAGAAATGTGCAGCAGGATGTGGGCAGGTGGAGACCGTTCCACACCTCTTCGTGCAATGCCCGGTCGTTCGAGCATTCTGGGAATGGTGGGCGCAGGAATTGGCAGAGCATTCCCCACTGAATGTCACAGAAGAGGACGATGCGGCCATAGTCCTCGGAGCCTTGATGAAAGTGGATAGATCGAGACCGGAAGATCTGGTGGCGGCAGAGAGTGCGGCGGTATCAAGGACCCTGTGGACCCTGAGGAATGAGCAGTGTCGACAGGGAACATAACATTTCCACCGCGGCAGGCTTACCCGGAAAGAGCGTTGGAGAATATTAAAACTGCTCTGCTGGCTGATCTGCACAGAAGCAGGCGGGCAGGGGAACAGAAGGAGAAAAAATTCTGGGCTAGATGGGAACCGTAGTCGCAGCTGCTCACTCGGGATCTTCAGACCGGTCGTATTCTGTTCGGCCCACTGCTGACGCGCCGTGCGCTGGCAATTGACGTAGAGGAGGAATCAGACTAGGAAGATGGACTTCCATGAAAGCAGCCGATTTGTATTATATTTAAACTACGGTCGGAGAGTTAGGAGAACTGCGATACAACTAGAGTAGAGGTACTATAGTAGTTTAGACTTGCAGGAGGCAGTGGCCATGAAAAGATGGGGAGCTTGACATAAGGGGGGTGGGTTTTTTGGGGGGAAAGCTAGAAACTTGAAACAGCAAAAACATAGGAAAGATATACAAGAATAGAAGGAAAATTCAGGAGGAGGTACGACTTAGGGATAAAGCTTGATAGATGGAATAGAGGATGGTAAAGGAAATGGTGGGGATATACATTCAATACATACAATGAGGAACATCCAAATGGTACAGGCCTGGCCTAGTTGGGGTAGGGGTAACGGTTGGTATGAATGTACTTCACACTGTGAGATGGTATAGTAGGACGGACTGGGAGAAGGGGAATGGCACTCTAGAAATAGCAGACTGTTGGAGTAGGAAAGAAAATGGATATGGAGGTAGTTATGGGATGGAGATGACTCAGGCATGGTAAGAAACGATGAAGGACTGGCATGCGGCCTGAAGGAC